GACCTCTGCCCTTCTCTTTATACAGGTCTGTGACCAGATTTTTAAAATTAGTATCCACTTAATTACAAATTATTTACCCTGTAGTTTCTCAGAGCTCTTTAACAGCTGTTCCAGTATGTAATTTGACTGATTTTTTTAAACCAAATATTAAGTGCACAATTGAAGCCTCCTTCCGATGAAATAAATTGCATAACTTCCATTGACTTCAATGGAAGAAAAACTGGGCTTTCTATCATGTAATTAAGTTGTCAAACTCCTATAATGTATTTCTTTTATTATTGTAAGAGTACCTATTGATTAGAATTATTTAAAGGATAATTTGTAAAACTCTAAGCCCCAATGAAGTAATGCACTTGAACATATACTTAATTTTAAGCATGTGAGTAGTCACATTGGCAAGAGGAAAACAGAAACATGAATAGTAAGCATCATGGCTTATGAAGTTATCATGTCAGACAAACATAACCACTTTTTTGATCTGCAAATTTAGTGGACAAAATAAAAACAAATGTAGTATATGTAATATATCTGCAGTGTATTATAGCCTTTGATATACTCCCCATGAAATATTACTTTAAATTTGAATTCATACTGGCTTAAACATAAGTATGATCATATTGAAAAGTGACTGAAGAATGGTCAAGAAAAGGCAATGAAAACTGGCAATTGTCAAGATGGGAAGGTATCTTATGTTATTTTAACTCTTAATTTCTTATGCCTATTGATTATTTCAATTTTCAACCCATTTCCATTTGCCTGCTTGCCCCAAGGTGAATAAATTGTTGTGTGGGCTAATAGAAATTGTCCCCAAAGATTAAAGGAACAATGGCCATTATCCCAGGTAGTTGCCATTTGGCTCAGACTGTAGGTGGCCCCACTCTTACAGTGGCTCTTGATTACAATTATGCACAGAAGATTTTCTGCCCACCTGATGATGGCAGATGAGAACATATAGAAGAAACTAAGATGGCCTCTTGCAGCCCCACTCCATAATGGTGGGTGGGGTGGGAAAGTAGGAAGTGAGTCTCACAGGGACAGTGGGTACAATAGGGATAGCCCTGCCCACGTGCCACTCCAACCCCCCAAGCTGTTTCCTACACTACGGCTGGCTTTTTCCCTGAGCTATAGCCCCAAGTCAGTCTGGGGTTGGTGCTGTGCCACCCTGTCAGTGCTCCAGGGCTGGGGTTGTGCTGCCTGCCACCCAGTACTTGGGTGCTAGCTTGGGGTGGGGGCCAGGAGACATGGTGGAGGGGCTCTGGCCTCTGGTAGTAGAAGACACAGAAGGGGTGGGACTGCGGGGCTAGGCTTCCTGCGCCTGTGGTTCACATGCCATCCATGGAGACTCATTTCAGCACATTCAAATCCAGGTAAGGCAGCAGCAATAGCAGTAGTTTCTCCTGTCCTTTTACATCCCATTCAATAGCATCAACGTTATTTCCCCATATCCCCTCTCTTCAACATCACATATGCAAACATATATTTAACTAAGACAGGTGAGCTAAGAGTTCTTCTCCCCCATGACTGATAAATATTGATGACAACTTAGCAAAGGTTGATTATGCTATACTTTATTTTAAACAGAGTATATTGGATCTGTAATAACTTTTATTGGTTTGGATTTAGGGTAACATAATAGAAAATGCTAACTGAGACCACACACTTTTAAAAATACTAAACCAATTCAAAATAACCCCTAAGACATTCAACTAGAATGTAAGTGCATGGAGACAAAGAACATTTATAGGGTAGCAGGTCACAGCAACTAAATCAGACATAACAATAACTCATAACTGAGCAGAAAGGAAACTTAACCACTCTGGAGCCCATCGTGTCTAATTATTTCACTATAGGAAACTTAACACTATCAAATGCAGTCAACACTTTAGGGTGACTGTTCTGCAGTATCTGAAAAGTGTTTTTGAATTCTAAAATTCAACATAACAAATGTGATTTTGCTTCCAGTCCTGCAGACTTAGTCATGCCCTAGTTTTTGTAATTTGTGTGTAAGTCAGATTCTGTTCAAGTGCCCAGTTGCCTTTTGGAAACTTGCATTATTAAATTTAAACTATGTCAATGACTTTTTATTATTTAAAAATGAAAAAAAAATGTTGAGGTGGAAAACAAAACAAGGAAACAAACAAGCAAACTTTCTTATTGTTCTGGCAGAAAAGTTCCTCTCCACAGGAATGGACAAATGCAAACAATGACATCTGTTTCTGTCTTGTGCCTAAACAAATTAAAATGCTGATTTAATAGAATCCTCACAAAATCCAATATGTCTTTAAGAAAAAACATCACCCTGATAAAGGTATATTACAATGTTATATACCAAAATGTTCACATTAGGCTCCAACATGTCCCGAGGTGAAAGAGGATGTTCACATTGAGTAAATGTTGAGCTACAATGCCTAAAAAAGTTAAAGGAGCTAGGATTGTGACACTATTTCTTTTTTCTTCTATTTCATACATAAGTATTTTTAAATGTTTATTAAAAAGCATATTGAGGAAAACAGAAGTCACTGTATGAAAATCCATACAGTATCTCACCTTAGTTTCAATTATTCTGATACAAATGTCTCTAGCAGATATCTGCATCAATATTCATTTGCTGGAGAAGGCTATCAACAAATGGACTTAGTCTTATATAAATCATTCTAAGGAAGTGAAATTCATTTTAGAAACCATATGAGTTAAGGATTCTGGTATCAAACACAGAATCTGATTAGTCCCCCAAGAAAGATAATGGTGATTTTGTTTCAAGCCATTATCTAGCCAAACAAAATAATTTCTTTAGCATTATGTAAGTTTTAGTAAACAAGGAAAGGGGCGGGGAGGGGGGGGAGGGAGCGTTGAACGAAGAGCAAACAATAACTGTCAGAAGGATTGTGATTTTAAACTGACAAATGGTTTGGGAGAAAGCTTAAATTTTCAAGCAGGAATTTTAATATTTAATCTCTGAAAGTGGCATGTTTTAGACAAAATAATGGGATTTCCTCCCATAAAATTAACTAAATGTCCAAATCTATTTTTGATGCTCATTAACTTAAGCTGTCAAGAGGGGGAAATTTGAACTGTGACACAGTTGATATAGTAGTCATAGATTAAAGAGCCCACCTTAGACATTGGCAATGTTTCAAAAGATGCAAATGCTTATAGAAAGGCATACAACAACCTCTGTATGGCACATGCTGTGGCAAAAGCCAAGGGAACAGAGTGGGGAGCTGGGCCAGGCCTGTAAAACAAGGAGCCACTGCTGCAAGATGAGCATGAGGTAGGCTCACTCAAGAGCCTCTCAACCCAAATCTCCCTTAAATTACTATGTCAATGTTGGACACCGTGACTAGAATAACCTGCAACACCCCACATTTGGTTAGCTAGATAGGTCAAAAGGGGTTACAGTATCCACATGACAATGCAAAATGGCATCTTGGGGGGAAACTGATGTATTTTAGTAGTTACATATGAAATGTTAATGAGAAAAATTTATAGCACTTAGCACAATGTGATCTTACTTGGGAAAGCTGGGCCCTACTAGTACACACGTAATAGAAAGCTGGAATCAGCTTCAATACATAATTTTGATAATGTTAATCTTATATCCTGGAGCAAACATCTTTGCTACTGATGCCACAGATTTATCCATAATCCTTAATCTACATTAATATTCTACCCTGAAAGATTAATATTAACATAAAACCTCCACATTCTGAGCACTGGTAACTTAGTCTTTTGATTGAGAAACTTTATAATTTTTAATGTTTCGCATGCCAGTCTAATTTGTCCTTTTATTAGGTCTTATCATTGGCAAATGCCTAGCCACCATAATCTCATCCTTATGGGAAATGATGCACATAACTTTAGTTGGATATTATCCTGTGATTTTAACTATAACTCAGGTTAAAAACTACACTCAGCAACTCACAGAAACTAGGGTTCATGTGATATGAAAAAAAATAATTATCCAACCACAGGGGAATTTAAGCAGTCTGAAAACTTCTAAGGGCAGGGATCTATTATTATTCAATATACAACTTGTTTACCAGAAAGGCAAAATGAAAAAGTAGCTTATTCACAAGTGTTCAAGAAACCAAGAACTCTGGCTTTGTTGTATGTTAGTATTTTATCCTAGCATCCTGCTTGTTATTATATAAGGGAATCTCTATACAGACAGTTTATAAAGTAATTATGATACTTAAAAATGGGAGATGACATATAGAGTATTATTTTTATTAAAGAGAAGAATTTTTCAGTTTTGTAACACAGAAATACCTGATTTTTCTTTCTATGCTCCTTTACACCACATTCTAGACAGCAGGCTTAATTGTTTTGGATTTCTTTGACTTTGAATAATCTCTTCCTTCTTCCTGCTAACAAGTTAAAGTAATAAAGTAAGTTAAATTAAACCAATGCATGCTAAGTAACACTAAGACAACAACTAAACTAGCGGTCAGTCTATGAGACATTTTGTTTACCATTGCCCATGAGTGGTTGCGTTTTGAAATAATGGGTGTGCTGTTAAGACGTGGAAAACATTATTTCAGGACACCGGATGTATTCCAAAACCTACATGGAAAGAAACCAGCAAAATTTGGCAATCAAAATAATGGGCTTGCTATTCTTATGTCATGGTAAACTTTGTTCCACAAGGGCTAAGAGATTTGTTGGAATAGCGGTCTATTTCTAATGTTGGTGTTGTGTAGACAGCACCAAATTTCGAAATAGACGATCTCAAAATAATTGAAACAATCTATGCAATTCGTGAAGCTTGAATTGCATAGCTTATTTCAAGCAATCAACGCTATGTAGACACACCCTACTTGTTTCTTTGAATTATGATTAAACAGTGTAAAATATATGTGTATAAAAGGATGTTTTAAATGGATGGCATCTACTTCAGCAAATAGGAAAAGCTTCCATTCAGTCAGAAGTTTCTCATTTATATGACTATTATAATGTGGATTAATAAATCCCAGAAGTAAGCTGTATCATAGCGTGAATAATTTCTGAAGGAGTATGCTTTCAAGGTCTGCAAAATAATTCTGAAAATATAGGAATGAAATAAAAATTTTAATTTACCCAGGCCCTGAGAGACTTCTTGTATTCCCTTGTTTTGTATAGCTTTAACTGGTCAATATTCTCAAATAAAAAAGTACATATTGTCTTTTTCATCATTTAGGCCAGTGGTGCTCAACCTTTTTTAATTCGCGACCCCCCAGGGCTGGAAAATTTTGCTTGAGGAAAAAAAAAAAAGAGGTCAGGATTTTGGTTGAACATGCCGAGCTGGGAAAAGAAAATGGTGGCCAGCACAGCACTGCGACCCCCAATCCCCCAGGAAGACAGTCGCAACCCTTGGGTTGCGCACCCCTGACTTAGGCTATGTCTACACAGCAGTGTTATTTCAGAAAAACTGACCTTATTCCACTACCTTATTCTACAATACTAGCCTTTATTTTGAAATAATGTTGAGCTGGAAGACTTCTTACTCTGACTCATGGTAACTCTAATTTCATTAGGAGTAAAGGAATTCAAAGGAAGAGTGTTCTTTCTTTGACTTCATGCTATGTAGACAGCATCAAAAGCTGAATTAAACTATTTCGACTTCAGATACGCAATCGACACAGCTGAAGTTGCATAGCTTAATTAAATTTTAGCCCTTCTGTGTAGACACAGTGCAGATACCCTTAGTGTCTATAGATGTGAGTTTTTTACCTGCCTTCTTTTGCCACAACCCTTCTTTGAAGTTGTTTTCAAATGAGTCTCCAACTTTGAGTCAATCTGCTTTGAGGCCACTGCTTCACACTGCAAGGGATCATCATTCACTGTAAAGATCTTAAAATGGAAAAGTTGATATGTTCTCATTAGCTAAAACTCCAGTACAATTGTAATGGTTATCATGACAGAACTTTTTATAAACTTTTTTTGGTTGATCTCACAATTACAATCCTCCAGAGCTATAAATTCTATTAACACAAACACCAATGTGAATTATGCAGATTAATCTATCACTCACTGTCCAAAGAATAGACTACTATCAACATGTATAATTTCTTACTGATGTACATTTTCACTCTAGCAGCTAACTTGTGCATGTAAGGCATTAATAACCTTGTGCCTCACACTTCTAGAGACTTTGGTGTTTAAAAGTCAGTAGACGAACACAGAACTGTGCTCACAGAACATACACAAGAGCCCTTCTCTGCTCAAATCCCTTCTTCACCCCCCATAACAAACCCCAACAATAATGAAGTCAGTCTGAGAAAGAATTATAAGTCTACCAAATTAATCTCATATAAGAAGAAGAGACTAATGGGAAGGAACATACCACTTCACATCCCACGTCCTCAAAAAAATGAGGAGTAATGTTAGTTCGAACGAAGGGGTTTGGTTTGAACTAACACGTCCCGGCGCACACTTCCTGGTTCGAAATAGCTGTTGGGCAGAGTACCGTGCCGGCGTGATCATGCTAATGAAGCACAGGATATTTAAATCCCCGCTTCATTAGCAATTTTGTTCGCCTACATCTGCATCCCTAGTTTGAACAAGGGAGCAAGTGTAGACGTACCCTAACCTAGCAGCAATTAAAAGGTTCTATATCTTGTAAAGAAAGTATAACAAAATGTACAGATAATTTTCTTAAACTCAAAAGTCTTTGCAGATGCATATTAAAAGCAAAATTAGGAGAGTCAATTTAGAATTTATGTTCTTGACAGTCTGAAAAACACCTTGATGCTAAATTCATCATCATTACTGAGCTCAGTTTAGCACTCCTTGCTTTATTAAAACTCAAGAGGAAGTATCATACTCTAAAATATTTTAACGTGCCATTCAGAATGAAGGTGAAATGCTGTTAATAACTTGCATTTTTGTTAAACTGTAATCTAAACAACTATTAGATAGGCAAAGGTGTTAAAGGAATATAGAGTATTAATCGAACCTTCCAAAATGTTAAGCTTATGTAAAAAGCACTGGGTTTACATAGTCTGTTGTCTACACCTACTAGTTGATAGGACCACATACTTGAGCTGGTCTGACATACCATCCAGTAGATGGTTATAGTACATAACTTTAAGCATATTATTGCTTACATACATTTTGCTAGTCCCATTCAATAAAAATCTGGAGTGAAATTAAAAGAATTACCCTTCTTTTCAGAAAGTCACAATTACAAGTATACACAGCTCAAATGATAAAACAACTGTAAAAGGAGGCACAATGGTGGAAGATTGTAATGCAAATTATACCAAATATTAGAAATACACAATCTACCCGCCAGAACTAAGATATAGCATCAATTGCGATAATAGAATCATAGGATACTAGAACTGGAAGGGACCACGAGAGGTCATCAAGGACACGTATAGACTACATGGGTCTGTCGACAGAGCCATGTAGATTAGGGTTGTAGGCAAAGGGAAATGAAGCGGTGATTTAAATAATCGCCGCTTCATTTAAATTAAAATGGCTGCCGCGCTGTGCCAATCAGCTGTTTGGTGGCACAGCGCTGTCGTCTGGACGTGCCATGGTCGACATCAAAGGCATTTGTCGACCTCCCCAGTAAACCTCATCCCATGAGGCATAACGGGAAAGCTGACGAATGCCTTTAAGGTCAACCGTGGAGTGTCCAGACTACAGCGCTGTGCCGCCAAACAGCTGATTGGCACCGCGCGGAGGCCATTTTTATTTAAACAGCCATTTTAATTTAAATGAAGCGGCGATTATTTAAATCACCGCTTCATTTCCCTTTGCCTACAACCCTAATCTACATGGCTCTGTCGACGGAGCCATGTAGTCTAGATGTGCCCCAAGTCCAGTCCCCTGCCCTCACGGCAGGACCAAGCACCATCTACATCATCCCTAACAGATGTCTCTCTAACCTGCTCTTATATATCCCCACTGATGAAGATTCCACAACCTCCCTAGGCAATTTTTTCCAGTGTTTAACCACCCTGACAGTTAGGAAGATTTCCTAAAATCCAACCTAAACCTCCCTTGCTGCAGTTTAAGACCATTGCTTTTTGTCCTGTCATCAGAGACCAAGGAGAACAATTTTTCTCTCCTCCTTGTAATACCCTTTTAGATACTTGAAAACTGCTACCATATCCCCTCTCAGGCTATGTCTTCACTACAGACTTTTTCCAGCATACTGGAGGTATCCCAGAAAAACACTGCCGTGTCCAGAGAATGCGTCTATTTTTTCAGAACTGTTTCTGAAAAAGCAGGCGCGTTCTTTTGGAAGCCTTGTATTCCTCATTTTATCAGGAATAGGGATCTTCTGAAAGAGGAGGTTTTTTCCCCACATTTGGCCCTGTGTAGACAGGCCAAATGTTGGAAAAGCGTCTTCTGAAAAAAAAAGAGGAAAAAGAAAGCCATGTAGACATAGCCTCAGTCTTTTCTTTTCTAAACTAAACAAGCCCAATTCTTTCAGTCTTCCCTCATAGGTCATGTTTTCTAGACCTTTAATAATTTTTGTTGCTTTTCTCTGGATCTTAGAGAGGATGAATAGTCTAATTACCTCAGCACATATACAGAGTTGGTCAGTACTATTAAAAATGCTGCCTTATTATTTACCTGCTCACAGTTGACTTGTGAATGGTGATGGGCTGTCTTGGTGATATATTTCTTTGACGGTATTGATTGTTGATGTTCCTGTTTTTTGGCTCTGTGTGCTGTACTGTTTAAGACCAATCTGAGAATATTTAACCCTGCTCCTTCAGTTGGACTCTTTATTTGATATTCTGATATACTGTTTGCAAGTTTTTTGTCTGACTCAGAAATCTGTGTATGTACTTTGTTTGAACTGTGAATTTCCTCAAGTATTTTTGTGGTGTTTTGATTTGCTAGCTTTCCCCCTTTTTTTGTAGAGGAACTGTCTAGTGCATGGTTTTTCAAACATAGATTGGCATTTGATTTCTGAAGTATTGATTTGTCACTAGCAGATAATGAAGAATTTAGTGTCTCAGGTTTGCCTTTACTTGAACTTATACATGAAGATCGGCTATTAGAAAAAGTAGAATTTGCCAGCTGTTTTCCAGGTTTGTTTTTCTGGTCACATATCAATCTACCACTTTTTACATTTGCATTCCCAGTCATTCTCTGAGCAACAAAGCCATTAATAGGATTTATGAATGATACCATTTGGACAGGTTTGTACATCTGATTTACACTAGAGTTGCATAAAGTTAGTTGAGATACTGTGACATCTCTAACTACTTTTGGAGAATGCTGTACAACCCTCCCTTTTTTCTTTTCTTGACTGGCTTTTGTGGCCTTTACATCCATTTGCAACAACTTTGCTTTGAAAATAGGTATAATTCTAGTAGTATCTTTCCTTTCAGAATCCACGGGCGAATTTTTAGACATTCTTAAGGATTCAGCTGAGTGAACTGGTACCCCCAATCCTCCTGAAGCCTGTTGATGCTGTCTGTTATTCACTGTTTTCTTTATAGCCTCAGAAACAGCACCCTCAGGACATGGAAGAAAAATACTTTGTTTTGGCTGATTGATCAAAAGCTCCATCCTGTGGCTGATTCCTGAGGTGCACTGTGAAGACCTCTGCTGCAAAGTGTCTCTTCTTGGAGGTGCTTGAGTCAGAGATACCTTGCATATTGGTTTGCCAGTCAGATTTGCAAGTTGGGCATTTACTCCCTGAAACATACAACAGTTGACAAACAGAATAAACACAATGAGAAGAGTTAGTTTACAATGCTACAATAACTTACCCTGTATACAACATACACCGTACACATGTGTGTTGGTTTTTTTGTTTACAATTCTATTGTTTTAAAATAACCTAGAATTAAGGATATTGTATGACTATAATTAAGACATTTAAGGAAAGATTTCTTCAGCTTTATAAGTGGAAATAATATGTATGCACATATCTGATTGTCAAGATCGAAAATATGTTCTAAACTGTATATTCTTTCAAGCAAAATAAAAAAGCATGCCACAACCTCACAGACCTCTATGTATAGATTTCTATGGTTTTGTATAATGATGGACAAAACTCATTGGCTCCAGTCTCCCCATTCTCTGCTTATGAGCTATATATGGTTGATGGTTTTTTTTGTTGTTTTTTGGGTTTTTTTATTGCCATATTTCTCAGAAGAGGAAGACCTAACTAGGGATGTAAGCAACTGATTGACAAGCTGACTATCCGATAAGCAAATGCATATTGGATAGTCAACACACTAGTTGTCTAGTCAGTTCTCCCACTCCTTGCTGCCTCTGTCAGAAAAAGGCAGGGGGAGGAGGGAAGAAGAGGGACTGGTGGGGGGAAACAGCTTAAAAGCCAGTTCCCCCCAGCTCCAGCTCTGTGGGAGGGGACAGGGGCGCAGCAGCAGCATTCTACCTTTGAAATGCACAAGAGTCCCCGCTGGGGCTTCTGTACATTTCAAAGCAGAAGTGCTGCATGGAGCATGGGGCCCACCAGCTCCAGGCTCCATGTGGCGTTTCAATCTTTGAAATACACAAGCGCCCCTGCTGTAGCTCTTATACGTTTCAAAGGCGGAAGTGGTAACAGCCAGGTGGGCTCTTGCTACATTTCAATGCGGAAGAGCTCTTCTAGACTAATTGAATAGTCGATGGAAATTCCATCGACTATTAGATTAGTTGGTTAATCTAATTTTAACATCCCCAAACCTAACTCGTGATCATTTTATAGCAGTACTTCTAAAACTGTGGTGTGCAAAGCAATTTCTAGTGGTCCACTCAGATCCTGTGGACTGTTCTCTTGTCTCTAGTGATTTCTACAAATATCTAGACTCTTTATAGCAAAAGAATGCCTGGATGCTTATGAAAACTGTGGAAGATAAGGAGGAGCCATCCTAACTTTCTCTATTAAGAGCTGCAACAGCTAAAGAAAGAGAAACAGGATCCTTCCTCAGATATCTGTTCTTAATATTTTCAAAACTGAAATTTCGACTGCATTCTTCACATTTTTGGTTTTTTTTATTAAGTTTTTCTTCTTTTACTGACAAGATAATCAGAAAGTAAGCTTCTCTCAGCAAAGGCTGAAATCTGTATTACATATAGCCTATTGTTCTAAAAGAGTTGTAAACTGTGCTCATTCCCTGCTTCTTCACCTCTGTAGTGACACATCAGCCTGTCTGGAACCATTAAAATATTTCCAATAATAAGTCCAGACTACTTATTTCCTCTTTTTTTTCTTTTTTTTTTAAACAAGGGAAAATATTATTGTGATATTATAGTGGCAGAGTTAAAATAAAAAATGCAGGAAATAGAACTCTTAAGAGTCCAACAGAACTGTTAACTTGGCTATATCAATTCTGTTTTGTTATAGTTATCATGCAAACTGTAATATGTCAGACTACTCATTAACTAGAAAAACACACATATTAAGGTAGTCATAGTGAGAAATATTTTTATCTTCTTGCAATGTTCTGATAATTCACATGTGGAAGAGAGGGTTACTCAGCTTGTACAGTAACAGAGGTTCTTCAAGATGAGTGTCCCTGTGGGTGAACCATCTTAGGTGTCTGGGGTGCTGCTGCGCCTCTGGTCAGAGAATTTTGGTAGCAGTGCCCTCGGTAGGCTGTGCACATGGGGCAGCTAGCACACGCTAGTGTGACTACATTGCATGTGCAGCCAACCGTCCCTTCAGTTCCTTCTCTGACCCAGAAATAGGTGGTTCCGAAGGAAGGGCAGGTGAGGGACCAACCGCATGGACAGCCACCTTAAAAAATATCTGTTACTGCACAAGGCGAGTAACCCTGTCTTCTTCTTTGAGGTGTATCTCTGTGGGAGCTTCACCTTAGATGATCAGGGCTTGTCAAACCACAGGCCAGTAGGTTGCATTATTTGTCGAGCCCTGTAGATGACTATAGAGCAGTACCCATGATCGGAGAAGGGAGCTTTGATCACTTTTATTTACGGCAGCTAAAACTGTCTGGCCAAACCAAGTGTCATGAGACAGGTAAGATTCAAGCGAGTAGTGCGTGGTAAATGTATGAGTGGAGGACCATATCAGCAGCCCTACAAATGTCTGTCAGAAAAATGTTGCTCAGGTATGCAGTAAAAGTCGCCATTGCTCTTGTGATGACGGTTATGGATGGCAGCTGTGAGGAAAGATACTCCTTTGCACACATTGAGTGGGTCTGTCCATCAAGCTAAGGACTGTTTCATCTTGATAGGAATTGAGATGGTTTGTTGATGCTGTGGAAATGTGGCCTGTAGACTGTCCTTAGCCACAGCTGCATGGGTCTCGTGTAATCTGGAATGTTGTATCATGAAGGTGGTAGCTTACATATGATCTAAAAGCTGAAGGCATAGCTTTGCAGTGACCTGAGGACTGCTCTGTGCTATTCCCACCAGTTCCATAATTGCCTGAAACTTTTGTTGTGGAAGAGAAACTATTGCCACCGTGCAGTCCAGGTGAGCTCCTGTGAACTCTAATTTTTGTGTTAGTGTGAGCTTGCATTTTTGTAGATTTATTTGTAAGCTTAGGCTCTGTGCTTTTAGCAAGCTGTCGTCAAGATACTGAAAGATGGTGACTATCCTCTTGTGGAAGTATGCTGCCACCACAACCAGCACTTTTTGGAAAAGAGGTGGAGTTGTGAGAGTCCAAAGGAGAGCATCTTTTATTGTAAATGTTCATCATTCCCTGTGAATTGAAGGCATTTTCTGGGTGCTGGGTGAATTAACACATGAAGGTAAGCATCCTGCAGGTAGAGGGTCAATAATCAATGCCCTTTCTCTAAGGCAGGGATTAATGGCAATAGGATGACCACTTGAAACATAGAGAGCATATATAACAACTGAGTCTTCTTAAATCTTCAAGAACTGACCTCCACCCTCCCGTTTTCTTTGTTGTAAGGAAATAATGGGAGCAGAATCCCTTCTCCCTGTGACGTTGGGTCATGGGTTCTATTGCTCCCAGTTGGAGCAGGTGGTGGAGCTCCTGCATGAGGATGTTCTCATGAGATGGGTCCCTGAAGAGGGACGGGAAGCAGGAGTAGATTGGAGGAATAAATGAAAAAGAGAGACAATAATCATTCTTGATAATGTCCAGTATCCCCATCTGTTCATGGGGATGGAACTCCAGTCCGGGTAGAAGGGTGTCAGATGATTGCTGAATGTAAATGGTCCATCCAGCTGCCTTAGATGTAAGTGAGTTATCATACCCACAACCTGACTTTCAAAATGTTTGTCTGTAACTTGAAGGTTGGGAAGTTGAGGGTTGGTTGGTGTTCTGTCTGTGCCTGATCTGGCGCTGGCTTCATCTGGATCTGTGGTTGATTAAAAGGCATGGGCCTGTATCTTTGAGTGAAAAACTTTCCCTGTGTCCTTTTTGATGCAGATATGTGAATGCCTAGGATTTTTATATGGAGCAGGAATCTTTTAGGATGTGAAGAGAAGCATCCATAGAGTTAGTGAATAGTTTTCAAAGGGAAGGTCTTCCATGGTTGCTTGTACTTCTCATGGAAAGCCAAGTAAGTGGAGCCAGGATGCTCTTCTCATTACTATGGCCTTAGCGATAGAGCAAGATGCTGTATCTGAAGCATCCAGGGCCGCTTGCAGGGTGTTGTGGGAAATGAGGGCACTTTCATTTATATATGTTTTAAACTGCTCTGTCTTGCTGTATGGGAGACAGTCAATAAATTGTGTCATCTGTTTGAATATATGGTGTGTGTATTTGGCTAAGAGGGCAGTATAATTAGCAATCTACAACTGCAATGATGCCCAAGAATAGACCTTTCTGCTCATTAAGTCTAAACATTTCCATTCCTTATCATATGGAGTGGTCTGGGCAGCAATTTGTTTTCCCCTCAAGTTTACTGCTGCTATTACCAGCAAGTTTCGGGAGGGATGGAAGAACAGAAAATCAGCCCCTTGTGGTGCCACATATTTCCTGTCTGATCTTTTACAGACTGGTGGGATAGTAGCAGGTGTCTGCCAGAGGAACTGGCAGGGTCCATCAGGGCTGGGTTAATGCCAATTTTGCCGAAGGGGAGGCATGCAGAATGCTCATTCATTTATTCTGGGTCTTCAGCAGGTTCACTAGGGAGATCTCCAACACATCTGCCACTCTCTTACAGAGCTCCTGCAATGACTTGAAGTCATCTCCAGATGTGGGTGGAGAAGGCATTATGGTATTGTCTGGCGATAAGGATGAGATATGATGGGTGGTGGAGAAGAAGCAGAGATCTCTTCATCACTTGTAACGGAATCCTCTCCCTCTTCCTGCATCACTGCCCTATCTAAAGAGCATACAGATAGAGCCTGCATTGTGTAGGAGGGCAACAGTTGAGGATGAGATTGCTGTTGTTGTGTCCTATGTAACACCCAGAGGTCCCAATAGGGCCAATTAGTGGGCATTGGTACCAGGGGGGCAGCCATTGTGGCAGGTGCCACTGAGAAGCTAGTTGGGATTGCTTGGGAGAGGAGTGCCTGGATGCGTGTGTGTGTACCTACTATAAACTCCTTCTCTTCATTGCTGGAAAGCAGTGGTGTGGACCCTGCAGGAGTGGAAAAGCTAAATCTAGCCAAGGTTGGAGTACTGTCCGTATTGAATAGCAGGGTTGACAGTACCATGGTGACTTGTAGCTCCTAGCCAGTGATGAAGAACTGCAGTGCCATCCCGTTGCTGTTGGTGCTGAAGGCGGTGCCACAGGATCTGTGCTGCA